ACACCTGTAAATATATGACGACACTCTGACCACACACGTCTCGCTAGCCTGCATCCTGCCTGGCTTCTCTCGCCCCAGCATCCTGTTCTGGTCTGCTTCGCAGCAGCACTCAAGATACTCGGTCGCTGACACTGACACTCGCGTGGATACGATTCGATTGGAAAAACACGTGTTAATCGACGCGATGCCGACGCGAGGCAGTCCGATTAAGTATATTTTATAGAGCCGACAAGAATGATACGTGAAACTCTTTTCCCGGGTAGCTAATGCGCGCACACGCGCATTCCACGTCGCGACACGTGCTTCGCTTGTCGGCTCGAGACGTAATGACTCGGTCGCGCAAAGGTACAGGACGCCTGTGAATACCGAAACAATGAGCAGAAAAGGACCGCGTCATCTCTCGTCAAACACCAAGCGCGCCGCGGAACGCGATCAAAACAAACAACACCCTCGGCAACATTCCGGAACTTCGAGCCGTCAAGTGTTATCAGTACTGTATGTATTGCAAGTTTCGCCCGTAGCTAAGGACGTAAGATCCAAAGTGACGATCATTCACGGTAAGATTGAAGTCAGTAATTTATTGATAATTTTGATAAAATTCCTTGCTTTTTATAGTTTCACGCACAAACATTCCGCATTAATGCATAAGATAAAATAACATTCTTCTTATATTCTGATCAAATGTATAAATAGTGAATGCAAACAGTATTCGTACACCAGAGAGTTGTGAAAAAAAACCTTATTTATAGAAAATAAGTTTTAACAATTTATTAACATAATTTTGAGGAATATATCACTTATTATGTTCACTGTTAATAAATTATTAAATAAAGCTCATTTTCTACAAATAAAGCCTTCTTTAAGACAATCTCCTACGTGTACGAATACTTTTTACACTTACTGTATAATAACGTTTCTCAGATGAAAGAAAGGAAACTATTCACGATTCTTCGAGAGCATTAGTTTTTATGTCTTAATATATTACTAAAAATTTTCAATTGTACACTGAGAGAAGAATTTAGTAAATATTATCAAAATTTGGTTACTATTACTAAATGCTAGACGTAAATATAGCGGACCAAAGCTATGGCAATACTTATTAATTAATTTAGTTCTGTAAAATAAATTATTTATTTGACAGAAGTAAAATTTATTTGCTTCCAAAATATATTTGGTAAATAAAACTTATTGAATAGTTGAGCAAAATAAGCGATTCTGTAATAGTTACAAAATTTTTGATAGATTTTTGATCAACCAACTATCTGTAATAATAGATATTGAAACGATGTAATAGCTGCAAATAAATGAATTTTTCGTTGTGCTGCAACAAAACATACTTATACTGGTAACAAAATAGAACTCGTACCTACTGAATTTTTTATTATATGGGATATAACGATTTCATAACAATTATCAAATATCTGTTCATAACTGTAATATATTTCATATTAAATATTTAACATTAAGTAACTATTACTAAATTATTTAATTGATGTTACTGTGAATGCAATTACGTCATACTCCCGATCTATTAAATATTTGGTAATTATTATCATATTTAATATTAGTTACTAAGGATTCAATGAATTTCTGTAACTAAATGCAGTTTGTTATAGTTACCAGTCTTTTCTCTCAGTGTACACCACGGTCTTAGTGTCGTGCGTGTCGTGCACTACACAGAGAGAACGATTTGAATGAAATAAACACTTCTTTGGGATAGTCCAAACGAATTTTTTGATTGATCGAACAAAATTTTGTTTGACGCAACAAAAATATTTATTTGCGGCTTAGTCCCAAAGAAATATTTTTGTTGTGTCAACTAAATAATTTTGTTTAGACTATTCTAAGGAAACATTTATTTGATATTTATATTTATATTTATTGAATCAAAGAAATGTTTCTTAGGAATAGTCCAAACCAATTATTTGGTTGACACAACAAAAATATTTCTTTGGGACTAAGCCGCAAATAAATATTTTTGTTGCGTCAAACAAAATTTTATTCGATCAATCAAAAAATTCGTTTGGACTATTCCAAAGAAGTGTTCATTCGATTCAACCAAATCGTTCTCTCTGTGTGGAAAGAGCTATATTGCCTCTCCCGAAATTTGGGACAAATTTCTGATTGGTCAAAAAGGACAGTCGCCATGTTGGATGGCTGGAGCAGGTCCTCGGGATAATGGTACATATTGTGTTCTCACTCAGCGCGATAGCTGCTCTGTACGAGTCAACGGCACGATTCGATAATATAGCGCATTAATAAACGTCGCGTTGATAAATATACAATCTCCCGTCTGGCGATCGTACACGTCGCGTATCGCGCTGGTCTCTCTATCCGGGAAGTTCTCCAATAAACTTGATATTAAGTTCAATTTGCTTTGCACCTCGTAAAAGCGAACTCGCTTGTAACGCCGACCACGCGCGTCGAGGGAAATATTGGCAGCTCTACCGTGTTAACTAGATTTACATCGACTGTACGTACTTCCAGCTGCAACTCTCACGTTACGTCACGCAGATGATATACGCCGCCATGCGGGGGAGGGGGCAGGAGGGGGGAGAAGGGGAGGTAGAGAGGGGGCAAGGGAGGAGGCGGCGGAGGCCATATTGATCGCGCGTCTCGAGACGAAAATTTCGCAAATTTACCACCCTCTTTCCTCGGAAATGGCGCGACCAGCGTCAACCAGGATCCTCCCAGCGAAGCTACGCATCTCCGTGAAACGTTCTCGCTGAATAAATGTTTGCCCGGCGGATGAAAAGCTGGGAATCGAATCGGCAGCAGTATGTTTTCGAATAAAATGAAGTATCGATCCGAGACGCATCTGCTGATTAAATATACAGAGCGATGGGGGAAATGAAGAGAAAACGAAAATGTGATGATACGGACGGGAAGATGCGCGCACAATCGTCCCGATTAATTGATTTCGATGAATAACAAAGACGGGTCAATTCGGTGAGTATCAAGACGGCAAAGAATCGCAAAGCCCCGGACATGTAATCACGTCACCGGCAAGAACGGAGCGAAAGAGTGGCGGCGCGAAAGCAAAGACGGAAAAAGCTAAGAGCGTGCTTGAAAGCTTAAACCTACGAGGAAGCTCTAGCTAGATGAGCTTTTAATTAAATCGAGAAGATGAGCCCTTAATGGAATATGAAGTCGCGTTTCGGATACGGTCGAAATTAACGGCTGCTTGTACACGTGGGTGGAATTCTGCCTGGTTCTTGCCGCATATAAACGAACGAAGCGGGCTCCAACGCCACAATTTACGCTAGTAGTGGTCGCTAGAATTTCGCAAGAGAGATAGAGAGAGAGAGAGAGAGAGTATTATGATATCATATACAGAGTGTCCCAAACTCTCCTCCGCGATTTTTGTAGGAACGAATTGAGGTAAACATAAAAAGTCCCATACCGTTTTGCGATATTCGCAATAAATCTCGAGATATTAATTAAAGAAGATTTATGAATAATCACGCACGATATGATAGATGAAGTGTTAATGGCGTCGTTCTGTTGTACTTATACGTTAGAACAAACTGAACAAAAAAATCTTTAATCATTTTGCAAATAATCATGTAGATTTTTAGCCATTAATGAAAGAAAATTGTTACATGGTTGTGCGCGATAATGCACAAATCTTCTTTAATTATGTGATTTTATGCGATTACTCCTGCTTACTTTCCTTCTCTCAAGTAATGGTTATCCTCAACAAACAATATCTTCTCTCTCTTGTGACATGACAATCTTCAAATATATCACAAATCTTAGGAAAGCTCATTACATTCTCATGAGAAGGACTTATTCTCTTTGCAAGAATGTTACAAGACCTTATCAAAGGAAGGATTTCTTCGACTTTATGTAGTAAAATCGAATTTTTGTTTCAATTTAATATTCTTGACTAACGTGCCTAAACCTACTAGAACTCAGGATATATTTTTCGATCAGTTTGATGCTTATGATGGACCTGTGACAGATTTGCGATTATGTACACTTGTGAGACACTCGAGACAAGTAAACTTGCGAGACACTCGAGACAAGTAAACTCGTGAGACAAGTAACATTCGCCTGACTGCAGTACGTATTTTTCTCTGTGTGTGTGTGTACGCATTTATGAATATTCAGTTACTCTAGCGTCAAGGTGTTTTGGCAAAATCAATAAAAGAAATAAAAAAATTTCACCTATTATTGCAGCACATCTCGCCGTCCATCTCGACGACGGCGAGATGTCGTTTTAGCATCTTCGGCAGTCGCGCGAACGGGAAGCCCGCGGTTCGCTTGGAAGCTCTTTAATTAGCGATCGCGGAGAGACGCAAAGAAAACGTGTGTGACCGGACAGCTATGCGAGCAGTCTCGAACAGAAGCAGTGCAAACAATGTCGAATGACATCGACCCGACCGGTCGGCCGGCCGGCTGGCTGCCGCGAGAAAGGGAAGGAGGGAGCGAGAACGAGAGAGAGACAGACAAACAGACAGACAGGGGGAGAGATAGAGACAGAGAGAGACAGAGAGAGAGAGAGAGAGAGAGACGACGGGAGAGCTCAAAGCTCATCTATTATTGGCGCAAAACAGAAATAAAATGCAGTGCGACGGCCTGTGAAATCTACGAGGCTGACGTGCTGCCAACTTTTGTTCTCTGTGGCTTTGGCTTCAATATTTTCAATTCCCGTTATAGTCCGCGCCGCGGGATTACGCCACTTTCCCGTCTCGCGACTGCTGCCTCTCACCCTTCCTTGGTTTGCACGAACATACAAAAAACAAAGAAAAAAAAACACGTGCGCGCGTACACACCACGTGCGTGCACTTGTCGCGTCTGTTGAATATGACTCGCGAGTGTGATTCGTTTCGCCGCCCCTTAGGCTCGATTTCCGTTTCTGATGTCTCTTGCGCTTCTGCGTAACGAAGCTCTCCCTTTTCGGAACGAGAGCGTGGTCAAACACGACTGCTCGTCGAGGGATAGCCGAGGGATTGACGCTTGAAACACGCGTGAAAATTGTGTGAAAAGACACTCACCACGGTGATGGGGTATACTGGGTTGATAATTGTGAAGAGTAGGACGTGGTTCGGCTTGTTATTGTCTTCTCTGAAACAGCAATTGATATACATTATTCCAGCGGCTGTGCACGGCCGCGGACTTCGTTAAAGAAAAGAAAAGTTCACTCCAAGACGTACGCGGGGCTCCTGATAAAAAATCGAGACTTTCTGTCATTTTTCCCCCGGGGGACGCTCCAATTATTTAAAAATTCAATTATACGGCAGTCCGACGGGAAACGGGGGCTGCTGCCTCGATTATCGCCGAGTTGGCAAAAAGTGTCGTGAATAATAATAATTCATTCTTCGTTGTGCGCCGCGGACGTCTTGCTGACGCCGCGTGAAATTGCATTGATTGCGCACCCCACCCCTCCTCTCTATCCCGCTGCCGAAACTAGAAATATTATCTCCGTTAAATTCGTTTCCTCGGGCACTGATTGCAAATGAAACAAAAAAAAGAAAGGAGAGAGAGGGAAAACAGTTCCCGTAAACGCTCGCGAGTCCATTAATAAACATTAGCTGCATGTCGAATATTGTGCCCGCACAGCGTAAAGCGCTCTCCCTCAACATCGCGTTTGCGAAGCTGCCTCGATATTAGCGAACTATAACTCGCCTAGAGCCGTAGACGCAAAAAAATATATCGCACACTTAGCATGAAAAACTGCATGAAAAATCGTCGAGAATCTCCATTCCATTCTTCTGATAGACTGGTGTATCGTAGAGTTGGCTTTAACTTTATTGAAGTCGATTGGTCGCATTTCTTACGAGTGCGTGGGTAAAAGATCGGTTGGATGCACCAATTTTCCGGTAAAATATGTATGTACAATTCGGGAATTCCGACTGAAATTATCAGAATTCCGTTCGAGGCAGCCAGGAATTTTCGATGATTCAGACTGAATTTTGATGATCTCTGTTTTGTTGAATTTCTGAAACATATTTGACCAGATATTGCTTTGAACAAATAATTCTATGTAAATAAAAATATTTACATAGAGACAAAATGCAGATACTACAGAAGTGTACAAAAAATTATCAAAATTTGTTTAAAACGATATTTTATGATATTTTATACGTAATGTAATGTAAAAATTTGAGCGTAACGTTTGGCAAATTTGTGTGTTGCTGGATCAATATAACAAAAAATTTATATCTCTCTGAAATTGAAAATTGAAAATTTAACTCAATATACAGTATATTTGCTTCATAAATGCAATTCAAGAGATTACAAAGCCCGCATTATCGATCGTCTCACATTGCGATAATCATGAAAATCTGTTCAAGATGTTCTCTTTTCGTTTGATACGTGTACTGAGAGAAAGAATGCTTAATCTTACAAAAGAATTACAGTTATCTTCAGCGCCAATTATATCTTTGTGTTGTTCCAACAAAAACGTAATAGTAGCAATATAAAATTATATGGATTATAATTTTCTCTCTCTCTCTCTCTCTCTTTCTCTCTCTCTATCTCTTTCCCTGATTATAGTCACAAACACCAAACAACGTTTCTCCTATGTTTGACCCGAGCATTTCACATAGATTTCAAGTAAGTAACGGCTCTTAATACGAGCCTCAGTGCATAATAAACAAGTACACACATTGCAGATAAATACGAGTATAAAGATATATGCAGTATAGAAGCGCAGTTGATCTCTTTTTTTATTTAATACGCGATATAAAGAAAGAGCCCTTCAGACATACGGGCGTATAAAGATGTATAAACTATAAACGCAATTTGTACAGCACGAGCAACGCGTGGTGGACTGCACGTGCATCAACGTGCGGCAACGCGCGGAGAGTTATTACGTCAAAAGTAAGGTATCGCGCATCCTCGGCTCACGGGGGAAAAACTAGGGGAAAGCGAAACGAAGTAATCTCCACACGAGATTTGACGTGCGTCCATGTTGTACAGAGAAGCGCGGCGCACTGCTGACGGGCGACGGCGCGATACATTTTTCACGGTTTTGATATTCGGTGTATACATCTTTTCTTCGTGACTCGCACTCCGTGCAATTTTTCTGCGAGGCGAAATGCATCGCCCGTGCTCGATGATGGTCTACCTAGTGAGCGGCATGGAATATCCAATCGCGCGGGTCGATGCAAAAATTGAATTATCCTCGCGCGCGCGATCACTAACCAAGCTTATTTCTATTGACTTTCCGGATTATGATACGATTCGCTGTTTACGCGGGTCGCCGTAAAAACACGAGCGTGATTTCGATTCGGGGAAGAACTTGCCGAGTCACATTTTTTGCGTCAAAATTCGTATGATTCTAGCATAACACGCTGAGAAAAATAATATCTAAAATATCCATTCGATGACTACATATTTTCTTAAAAAAGGTTAAACTTGGCTCTGATGTATTAGATACAATTAAGGAAGGAAAAGAGCATTTAAGAGCCCGGCATAGTTATAAAAGTGCAATATATTATAATAATAATGACAATAAATATACAAAAACTACATATTTTCTTAAATCTGCATCCTTTTGTTTAAATGGAATAAAAATTCTCTTTACTTAAACCGTTTACTTAAGCCGAGTAAACAATAATCGATTTAAATAAAGAGCATTTTAAATATGTTAATGGTACCCATCTATAATAAACATTTGTTAATTTTTAGATATCTTTTCTCAGTGTAATAATAAAATTTATCGAGAAAATCATTTCTCTACTTTTCCCGTCCCGTTACTCGTAAATGTTCGTCTGCGAGTGACCCGAACGATTTGTAGTGAAGAAAAAGAAAAAAAATTGCAGCGCTTTGGTGCCATTGTTCTACCGTTTGTAGTCGATTACTCGACATTGATATCTACGTCGATTTTGTGACCGTTCACCGAGGGGCGACTTTGCCAACGAGTTATCGCGACTTCATGGAGCGGATGATATTCGCTATCGGATTGCCCGCCGGATTGAATCACGCTCAATGCTCGAGTTAACTTCTTATTATTAGACCCGAAGCGCGTAGGTGGACGGCGCGGAGCAGGATCAAACTTCGACGAGACCGGCTGCTCCGTCGTTTTAATTAATTTTCGACGTCGCGATGTACTATAGGCCGCGTCTTGGCGCTTATCGAGCATCCAATTCCACGCTCGAGCGTTCCCTTAATGGCGTGTCAATGGCGTAATGGCGCACCTCTCCCTCCGGTACGAGTAAGAAAAGTATTATTTCTGCAGAAATGTCAGAGCAGCCTCTGCGAGTTAATTGTTTAATGATATCGACAGAGGAAATGAAATGTGCAGAGTGCGCGAAATATATGGCCTACCCTGTAAAAAAAAAAAAAGATCGGAGCGAACCGGAAATCTCGCGCGGTTGTTTGCAAATTGCCGCTCCTTTAAAGTGAATCAGTGAAACATCGTTGAAAGCAGTGAATATACACTGATTTGCAGTTATAAATATAGCACTGAAACTGCTCAGTACTATAATTATAATTGATATCAGTGACTACACTGAGAAAAATTTCTGCACGGAAAAAAAGATTTGGCTGAATTAATATCTAGTCGAATATGAACGACCCAAAAATTCCGATTGAAGTAACCCGAATTCTATTTAAGTTAACAAGATTTTTGGTAGACTAATCAAACATGTTTGGTTATTTAACTAGACATGTCTGGTTGATCTATCACAAATCTTGTTAACTTAAACAGAATTCGGGTTACTTCATTCGGAATTTCTGAATCGTTCATATTCGACCAGATATTTGGTTGATTCAACCAAATCTTTTTTTTTCCGTGTGGTAATAATTATCCAGTCTGTGTTATAGTTACTAAATCATTTAGTGAAATAGTATCAACTAAATATGGAGGTGAATATGACCAAACCATTTGGTAACTATGAACTAAGAATCATGGTAATTGTTACCAAGGTTTGGTAACTATTACCAACTATCATAAAATAATGTGGTAAATAAAACCATATTGCTTAGTAATATTTACCACTGTTATATGATTACTATTATCTTAACCGCTTGGTTATAATTACGCAAAGTATGGTAATAATTACCAAAATTGTCATTAAAAATATTTGCAAATATCGTAATAATGCTTGATTCCAACTGTGACGATAGAATGAGGAGATCGTGGCGGTCGGGACCTGCGTCTTTTTTTCGTTCCGTTGAGAGAAAAATATCGAAAGCGCGGTTTGCTAGGCCGGGAATCAAACCTGGATATTTCAGTTGCCGGGTGACTGCTTTAACCACTGAGCTAACTGATGTTTCATGCTCACGACACTTTTCTTTCCCAAGATAACAGATGCCGTTCAAGTTGGTAATTATTACCTTATTTGGTATTAACTATTACTGATGTATTTAATACTCTTTATTAAATCAATTCATTGGTTTGATTATACCAAAAATTTATGTTACTGACTATTTTGTAATCATTACCATATATTTGATAACATTTGCTTACCATTTACCATAAACGCACAACTAAATGAATTTGGTAAGTATTACCAGACATTTTTTCCAGTGTATTCACTGATTCACTTTAAGAGAGTAAAAATCCAGCTAGACCTTCACACGTGGCCTTATACACTTCGTGTCAGCCTGTATATTATATCGATTCAAAGGACCCAAGTCATCCGTGAATTGCACGACACGATAAATTGAAAACGACACGACGAGCGAATTGCACGCGATTGATTTCAATGACCGCTTACGCGAACAAGCGATCCACAGGGAGAGACAATCGGCGAGTGGCGCCGTGCGAGTTGCAGAAGTTAATGGGTCAAAGAAACGTGAGACAGACAGACAGACAGAGAGAGAGAGAGAGAGAGAGAGAGAGAGAGAGAGAGAGAGAGAGAGAGAGAGAGAGAGAG